TGAAAACACATATTCTGCTAGGGAAAAAAGGTTCTTTTATTTATTTAATTTACTTTTTATTTTATTTTATCTTATTTTATTGGTTTTTCGAGACAGGGTTTCTCTGTGTAGCTTTGCACCTTTCCTGGAACTCACTTTGGAGACCAGGCTGGCCTCGAACTCACAGAGATGCGCCTGGCTCTGCCTCCCGAGTGCTGGGATTAAAGGCTTGTGCCACCACCGCCCGGCTTCAGGCAAACTCTTGATGGCCGGTGCCCCCTTCTCCTAGTGTCATGGCTACCTGGGTCCCTGTCCATAACAGCTCATTGCCAAGCACCCAAGCAAGCTTCGGATGCCTTCTAAATAAAAAGTTGCTTGGAGGAGTTGGGGGGGGACAGGACACCACGATGATGACGCAGGAGGAGAGGGAGGAGGGGAAACTGTAGTTATTATGTAAATAAATTTTTAAAAATGTTAATTAAATAAAATTAAAAATAAATAAAATGTGATATTGCAGGGGGGAAAAAAAGTTGCTCGTGTGTTCTGGTCCCTACAGCACACCATCAGTTCCCAATACCCTGGTACACATCAAGTTCATCGCCTTTCCCCTTTTTCTAGAGATGACAGGTTTAACAACTAAACCCAGATTTTATTTTTTTGTTTATTTATTTTATGTGTGTGGTGGTTTGAATGAGAAGAGCATCGGGTTTTCTGTTCTACCACTCTTTACCTTATTTCCTTGATACAGGCTCGTATTGGCTAGTTTTATGTCCACACAAGCTATAGTCATCTGAGAAGAGGGAACTTCAACTGAGAAAATGCCTCCTGAAGATCCAGTTGTAGTGAGGAAGCCTGTAGGGCATTTTCTTAACTAGCGATCTATGCGAGAGAGATTCTCTTGTGGGTGGGGACACTCCTGGGCTGGTGGTCCTGGGTTCTTTTTTTTTTTATTGTTGTTTGTTGTTTAGGGACAGGTTTTCTCTGTGTAGCTGTCATGGAACTCACTCTGTAGTCCAAGCAGGCTGGCCTTGAACTCCAAAGATCAGCCTGCCTCTGCCTTGTTAGTGCTAGGATCAAAGTCCTGTGCTACCACCACCACCCGGCACCCTGTCTTTCTTTAGGCCTAGAATTTGTAATTTTTCTGCCTCCTTCTCTCAAGTACTGGGATTACAAATCTGTGTCACCATGCTGACAATTTGTAATTGTCTTTATACACATGGTTATTAATTCATATGGTGTTTGGGAAAGGTAGATATGTTTTCATGTAAATTCTTAGCTGCCTAGATGTGTATGGTTAACAATAACAGGTCATTTTTTTTTTTTCAAAAACAATTTTTTTTTTTTTTTGAGACAAGGTCTCACCATGTAGCCCTGGCTGACCTGAAACTCACTATGTCGGCAGGCTAAACTCGAATTTACAGAAATCAGCCTGCCTCTGCCTCCTGAGTCCTGGGATTGTTGAAGGTGTATACCATCATGCCCAACATCTCAACACATGCTTTAGAGCACACACTCTGTGCAGATAGGATGTGTTTAAGAACTTTACATACGTAACTCATTAAATCTTCGTAAGAACTCCATGAAGCAGGTATTATTGTCATTATTCTCGTTTCACGCACGGAAACTTTAAACTGTACAGACATCACAGGTGGGACTAGAAGAAGCCAGAGTACTACCAAAAATTACACTGTGCTGGCCCAACCTCTGAATGCTCCCTAAGGAAGTCTGAACTCCCTCGATTAGGATCCTTAGCTTAGGTACTAAAAGGTGTTTACTGTAGCGCATGACTCTAATAAATGTTCCCAAGAGCCATACCAGAATAGGACTGCCACTAGGGCTCACGTCACTGCCGTAAGAATGTTAGCTAGGGTTGGGTGACTTTTTCTGGTGCCCAGACAGGGCAACAAAGAGACCAGAGGAACAATAGCTTCATTCTCTCCTGCAGCCTCCGCTCACCTAAAACTCAGTTTAAACTGAGTGGGGCTGCACGCTCCTGCAATTCCACGAGGGAGGGAGAAGAGGGCCAGGGATTTGGGACAGCTTCAGCAAGAAACTAGCTTGAGGCCAGTCTGTGCTCCAAGAGAGCCTATCTAAAAACAAAACAAATATAAGGTATTTATTTATTTAAAGACAAAGAAAAAAAAAAAAAAACACTGGGCAGTGGTGGCACATGCCTTTAATCCCAGCATTTGGGAGGCAGAGGCATGCGGATCTCTGTGAGTTCAAGGCCAGCCTGGGCTACAGAGTGAGTTTCAGGACAGGCTCCAAAGCTATACAGAGAAGCCCTGTCTTGAAAAAACAAACAAACAAAAAGACAAAAAACAAAAACAAAAACAAAAAAAACTCCAGTTTCTATTGACTAGAATTCTCCTGAGCCATCCCTTTTTTCATTTATTATTAATTTTTCCCCCAGAGATGGGGTCTTACTTTGTAGCCCTGAATGTCCTAGAACTCACTCTGTAGACCAGGCTGGCCTCATACTCACAAATTCACCTGCCTCTGCCTCCCGAGTGCTGGGATTAAAGGCGTGCACCACTACACCCAGCTAGCTTTGTTTTTTTGAAATATGCTCTTATGTAGCCCAGACCACTACATCAAACCTGCTATATAGTTGACGATGACCTTGAATTGGTCCCCCTGCCTCCACCTCCCAAGTGTCCGGGATGCCAGGTGATACCACCGTGACCGGCTTGCCCAACTTCTTTTGTGGAAACCTCATCTGTCATCATCAAGGCTCAGCTCACACTGGCCTTTTGTTCCTCAGGAGGCAGAATCTTCTCGGCATCTGCAATCCTGCAGCCTTTATCTGCACCCCTGGCAGGCCACAAGCTTTATCTCCTCCACCCAGTCGGGATTGCTTTCATACCCAGCACTTAGCACAGCCGTCTCCACGTAAATGCGCACACATGCATAGCCCCACACAGTTTACCCCCCACTCATTGTCTCTGATAAGTAGCTATTAATAAGTATGATGCATCAATTTTCTTTTTCTTTTT